GTGCAGTTCTGCAGATCAGCCAACAGACGCCTCTGAGCCATACTCTTGCGCGTAGACAGATGTTGTACATGGGCCACTTGGCGAGAAGACCAGACGAGGATCCAGTCAGAAACTCGGTGTTTGAGCCGGGCGGTCTGGTTCTCAAGAGCCTTCTTGGGAAAAGGAGAAGAGGCCGCCCGAGACAGTCTTGGGGGCCCATGGTGCTGAAGAACTGCTTGAATGTTGCCGGCTCCCATGAGCGACTTGCTGATTACTTCCGCCGAGAGGGCGGTGCAGCTCGCAGGTGGGAGCAGGCGGTCAAGGCATGGGCGGCGTGCTGAAGCCATCCGTTTCCGTGCACATTTTCACACATTGCTCACGCGCTGTGGCCGGCGCGAGGCTTCTGTTCTGTTCTGTTCTGGCCCGTTGGGCCGGCGAATTTTGCAATCGAAGACGCCTACGGCGAATCACCGCCGCCCTATGATTTTTTGGAAGCGCGCCTTATGTGGCCGAAAATTGGGCTATAGCTATCGGGCCATGTGCTCCTCCGAGCTGTCGTTGACACCTTTCGGGGAACATGTGAGGAAGAGGATAATGAGCAGAATATGTAACAGTGCGTAGGAGGAGGAGGACGAGGAAGGGGAGGAGGAGGAGGAGAAGGAGGAGAAGAAGGACGAGGACGCCTCTTGGAAGCCTCTTGGGGCACTCTTGGGGTCTCCTGGGAGTTTCCCGAGGACCTCTTGGAGGCCTCTTGGGGACCTCCTTTGACCTCTTGGGAGCCTTTTGGGGCTTGCCGCTTTGGCCGTCGTCGAGCGTTCCTGGCCCATCCGAGACGCCGTCGGAAGCCGCCTTGGATGCCTCTCTGAACCGACTTCGGGCCCTCTTGTTGCGCTTCAGGGCCGTCTTGGAGGCCATCTTGGCGTCTTGGAGGCCTCTTGGGCCGCCTTGGGGCCGTCTTGGGGCCGTCTTGGAGGCCTCCTGGGCCTGGGGCCATCTTGGATGCCTTCGGCCACGAAGTGTGTGAGGGGTGTGCCGAAATGGGTGGCGGGAACGCATGCAAACGGTGCAACTTGGACCTTCGGTGGCGCTCCCTATGGAGCCACAGAACGTGTGAGGGATGCGCCGAAATGGGTGGCGGGTGCACGTGCTGACGGTGCCACTGGGGCCTTCGGCGGAGCACCTTACGGGGCCACGAAATGTGTGAGGGGTACGCCCAAATGAAGGTGGAATCTCATGTGGACCCAGCCACTGGGGCCTTCGGTGGAGCACTACGGGGCTACGAAACGTGTGAGTGGTGTGCCGAAAGTTTGGTGGAATCGCATGCGAACCCTAACACTGGGGCCTTCTGTGGAGCTCCCTACGGGGCCACGAAGCGTGTGAGGGGTGTGCCTAGGTTGTGGATGGAACCGCATGCGCACCCTACCACTGGGGCCTTCGGTAGAGCTCCCTATGGGGTGGAGAATCGTGTGATGGGGTGTGCCGCAATGGAGGTAGAACAGCACGCGAACCCTGCCACTGGGGCCTTCGATGGAGCTCCTTACGAGGACACGAAACGTGTTTGGGGTGTTCCGAAATGGAGGTGGAACCGCATGCTAACCCTGTCACTGGGGAGATGGATGTAGTTCCGTTCTGATCCACGAAACGTGTGAGGGATACGTATGCCGAGTTAGGGTTGGAACCGCGTGCCCAATCTGACACTGGGGCCTTCGGTGGAGCTCCCTATGAGGCCCCGACACGTGTGAGGGATGTGCGTGCCGAAATGGGCGTGGAATCGCAAGCGAACCCTGCCATTTGGGCCTTCGGTGGAGCCCCCTACGGGCAACGAAACGTGTAAGGGGTGTGCCGAAAATTTGGTGGAATCGCATGCGAACCCTGCCTCTGGGGCCTTCGGTGGAGCTCCCGATGAGGTCCCGAAACGTGTGATTGGTGTGCCTACATCGTTGGTGGAATTGCATGCGCACCCTACCATTGGGGCCTTCGGCGGAGCTTCCCCATGGGGCCACGAAACTTGTGAGGGATGTGCCGGCCTGGAGGTGGAACCGCATGCGGGCCCTGCCACTGGAGAATTAGATGTAGCTCCTTTTTGGCACACGAAGCGTGTGAGGGGTGTGCCGAAATTGGGGTGGAACCGCAGGGGTGCGCAAATTGGTGATGCTGATGATGATGATGATGGTGATGGTGATGATGATGATGATGATGATGATGATGATGATGATGATGCTGCTGATAATGAAAATGATGCTGCTGATAATGATAATGATGCTGCTGATGGTGATGATGCTGCTGATGATGATGGTCATGCTGATGCTGTTGCGGATGCTGCTGATGCTGCTGATGATGCTGATGCTGATGCGGCTGATGATGATGATGATGGTTGGGGTGGTGGTGATGATGATGATGCTGATGCTGATGGTGATGATGGTGATGATGATGCTGATGGTGCTGATGATGATGGTGATGGTGATTCTGCTGACGATGCTGTTCATGATGATGATGATGATGCTGCTTGATGGTGGTGGTGGTGATGATGCCGCTGATGATGCTGATGTTGATAATGCTGATGATGATGCTGATGCAGATGTTGATGCAGATGACGATGCTGATGTTGCTGATGATATTTAATATGATTGTGACGGTGATGATGCTGCTGACGGTGTTGATGCTGATGCTGATGATGCTGCTGCTGATGATGCTGATTAAGATGATGCGGATGATGATGGTGGTGGTGATTATGATGCTGATGATGACGATACTGACGTTGACGGGGAGGATGGTGATGCTGATGATGCTGATGCTGTTGATGATGATGGTACTGGTGATGCTGATGACGATGCGTTTGATGGTGGTAATGCTGATGATGATGCTGACGATGATAATGTTGATGCCGATGCTGATGCTGCTAATGCTGATGAGGATTATGCTGATGCTGATGACGATGGTGCTGATGATTATGATGATGCTGATGATGACGATTTTGATGATGATGCTTACGCTGATGGCGACGATGCTGATTATGATGCTGATGATGATGCTGCTGATGATGATGCTGGTGCTGATGATGATGCTGATTACGATGATGCTGCTGCTGATTATGATGCTGATGGTACTGCTGCTGGTGCTGCTGCTGATGATGATGATGCTGATGATGCGTATGTTTATGACAAGTACGCTGATGACGATGGTGATGATGCTGATTCAGATGATGCTGATGATGATGATGCGGGTGATGATGGTGGTGATGATGATGATGATGATGATTATGATGATGATGATGATGATGATGATGCTGATGATGATGCTGCTGCTGCTGCTGCTGATGATGATGATGATGATGTTGATTGTGCTGATACTGATACTGCTACTGATACTGGTACTGATACCGATACTGGTGATGTTGACGGCGGTGGTGATGTCGGTTATTTTTGGATGATGGTGTCCATGAGGGCATGCGAAGGGAAGAGGAGCGGGAACGTGGGGCGCTGCCTCTTCAATCTGAGGGCCCAACACCATAGGATGATTGGGACTTTTGACGGTCTAAGAGAACTTACTCCGTATACCTAATAATTAGACTGGCGAAGGACCCAACCATGTGCAGTTGTGGGTGCCGTAGTTGTGAGTATTGTCTTCGGTGGAGCTTCCCACGGGGCCACGCAACGTGGGAAGGGTGTGCCGAAATGTGGGTGGAACCGCATGCGAACCCTGCCACTGGGGCCTTCGGCGGAGCTCCCTGAGGGGCCACGAAGCGTGAAAGGGGTGTGCCGAAATTGGGGCGGATCTGCATGCGAGCTCTGCCATTGAAGACTTCGGTGGAGCTCCCTATGCGGTCACGAAGCCTGTGAGGGGTGTGCCGAAATTGGGGATGGAACCGCATGCGAACCCTGCCACTTGAGGCCTTCGGTGGAGCTCCTATTGGGCCACGAAGCCTTTGAGGGGTGTGCCGAAATTGGGGCGGAACCGCATGCGAACCCTGCCACTGAAGCCTTCGGTGGAGCTCCCCCATGGGGCCACGGAACGTGTGAGGGGTGTGCCGAAATTGGGGGTGGATCCGCATGCGAACCCTGCCACTGGAGCCTTCGGTGGAGCTCCCTGTGGGGCCACGAAACGTGTGAGTGTTATGCCGAAATGGAGGGTGGAACCGCATGCGAACCCTGCCACTGGGGCCTTCGGCTGAGCTTCCTATTGTGTGAGGTGCGCAAGAGGTGGGAGGAGCGGGAGGAGGGAGGAGGGGGAGGAGAAGGAGGAGTGTGTGAGGAACGCGGGGCGTTGTCTCTTCAAAACGAGGGCCCAACATCATAGGGTGGTTGGGACATGTTCTTGAATTCCTGCAGAGAGTCCACGGGGACCTAATACAGATTACACCCGCAAAAAACGACAATCGGTGGATCGTTTGAAACGACAGAGAGATCGATAGTGTGATCGATAGCGAGGACGATCGTGAGGTCGACCGTGAGACCGATAGTGAGGTCGATTCAGTCAGATCGATAGTGAGATTGATCGTGGGATCGCTCGTGCGATCTATAGTGAGATTGATTGAGATCGATCGTGAGATCGATTGTGAGATCGATAGAGAGGTTGGTGATGAGATCGATGGTGAGACTTATCGATAAGGGGTTCGACCAGGAACCCGGGAGCCCGGAAACTGGGGAACCCCGCCGCCCACCGAAATTGGCTCAGGACCAACAATAACCAGGGAACCCAGAATTGGGAACCTGGGCACCCGGTCGCCTACCGAAATCGGCCGGGCTTTTTCGCCAAATCTTTCAGCATCTGTTAGGACCCCTTCAGTGCAAGCGCTGATTCTGGAATCTGGCAAGGAAGTCTCAGGCGAAACGCCGGGCCCGCCCCGCGCCAAATCGTATTTCTGCGACAGACCTTGCGACGTCGGATAGGAGTGTAGGCCCTGAGCGCCATCATGCGAGCATACGTGCCATGCTGCAGGAGCAGACACTCCCGAGGGAGGGCCTGCCGTCCCATCTACGCATCTCCAGCGCCCCTGACGCGTCGGGGGGCCGGCGGGCTTCATGAGGAGCACCCCGCTGCACTACATGCAGACTCGCTTCCGGCAGGGCTGGGATGAGGAGGCCCAGAAGCGCCTCATGCTGCCCCAGAGCCCCGAGGAGGAGGAGTACCGGAAGGACGGGGGCCGGGCTTCAAAGCTGCGTGCCGAGCTGGGGCAGAGCGGCCCCCCCCGCGGGCTGACGGCGACCCACGCTGTGTATCCTTGAATGCGGGTCCCGAGCCACCTCACAGCCAGCTTTTCCTCCCATGCAGTCAACCCGCACAGTAAGGATGGGCAACCTTCCCCAGGATGCCCTTGCGTCCTCGCCTCCTCGGTCCATCCTTGGCCACTTTCGTTGGCCGCGCCCCGCTCGAAGAGCTTGGAAACGGCCTTCCAGAGCCCTCGCATCCCTATCGTGCCTCCTCATTACACGGGCCGACTGCAGTGGCCTGTCCGCAAGGGTCCTGGGTCCTGCGTGATGTGTCAGGCCGCGCGTGAGGGTCCTTCCAAAGCCCTCGCCTCCTCATCGTGCATGCTTATTCTACGGGTCGGCTGCATTGGCCTGTCCGCAGGGGTCCCGCGTGAGGTGTCAGGGCACGCGTGAGGGTCTTTCAGAGCCCTCGCCTCCTCATCGTGCCTGCTCATTACACGGCCCGTGGTCTCCCTTTGTGGTCTCCCGCGCGGTCTCCCGCACGAGCAGCCGTGTGTCCACACGCACACAGGAGGGGAAAAACACACACAGACACAAGTCATCGTCGATCCCCCAGAACATATGGGAAACTATGGGAAGTGGTGGGGAAGACAAAGACCCAGGAAGTATAGGAAAATATAGGGAATCTTTTTATTTGTGTGTATTTATTTGTGTGTCCCAGGGCCCCTTCACACACACACACACACGCTTCACGCAAGCAGAGCAGGGCGAGCTGAGACGACGGTTCGACGGCGAGCGAGGGAGGGGATTGAGAGGGAGAAGGCCTTCTCAGACGGCGGCGGGACCTCTCAGAAGGCCTCGCGCCTTCTGAGAGGTTTTCTCTGTCTTCTGGGCAGGCTTGGACAACTTCTCAGAAGTCCGGGGGACTTCCGAGCCTTCTGAGAAGGCACGCCCCTTCTCACTTCCCCCCTGGCTCGCCGCCTAACGGTAGTTGGCCTTCGTGGGGGGCCCTCGTCGCTACCGCTGGACGCAGCTCGACAAGCTGGTGCGCTAGTGGGTCTGGGGACCGATTTTGAGCTGCCGTTGTTTCAACTCGCCCTGCTCCGACACAAGCACATTCGCACGCACACGCACACACATGCACACGCCTGTTGGAATCTACTTCTGAGTTGTTCTTGAGCTTCTTGCGTCCCAGAGGAGATGGCTGTCAAGCACGGCAAGCGGGGCAAGGAGGTAGAGAACCTTCTTTCCAGGAGGAAGGAGGGCAAGCGGATCCTCTACGAGGTCAAGTGGAAGGGCTCGAGCCGTAGATTTGAAAGCAATTCCAAGCAAGCGGGCCCCTGGACTGACGATGTCGGGGCTGATTTTGCAGTCAACGCGCGTAGTAAGGACGCGCGCCTTTTCTAGGGTACTCTTGCGTCCTTGCCACTGCGGCCCGTCCTTTGCTGTTTTCACTGGTCGCCCGTCGCCCAAAACTCCCAACTTCGGCCTCCAAGGGTCCGGCGTCCTTACCACCCATCCTTAAGATACGTTTTCACTGTATGTTCCCATGTTGGTTTTCTCGACGTTCAGGCCTCGTTTCAACGGAGTGCTTCGATGGTCCACTTCTCGCCTGCTCGGAGATCTCCTCGGAGTCTCTCAGAACCCTGCTCTGGCGGATGTCCCTTCATTTCAGTTCCGTTCCACCGGAGCGACGCAAGACAAAGGGGTCGTCTGCGCCGACATCGGCGCGTAAGCTGCCCCTTGGCGTCGCTCGGACGTGTGCATTTGTTCCCGGCGAGGACCATCGCGGAACATCTTGGATCATTTATCGAAAAAATTAGCCTGGCGAAGGACCCAACCATGTGTAGTTGTGAATACCGCAATTGTGAATAGCATCTTCGCCCGCGCTCCCTATATGGCCACGGCTTCCCGCCGGAGCCCGACATGCTCAGGGACACGTTCGTGGCCGTTTTCGCGGGCGCCGACGACGACAAGGACGGCGTCCCTCTCACCGAGGAGCAGAGCCAGGAGAGGGCCTTGAGAGCCATGGGGGAGGAGGTGGCGTTGCACGTCGACAAGGCGGAGTACGACGCCCAGGCGCGGTTGTTGAAGCTTTGGGGCCACGATCCTCGTGAGGGGTGTGCCGAAATGGCCCGGGGCCGCCATGCGAACCCTGCCACTGGCGCGTTCGGTGGAGCTCCCAATGGGGCCACGATCCTCGTGAGGGGTGTGCCGACATGGCCCGAGGCCGCCGTGCGAACCCTGCCGCTGGGGGCCTTCGGTGGAGCTCCCTACGGGGACACGGTCCTCGTGAGGGGTGTGCCGAAATGGCCCGAGGCCGCCGTGCGAACCCTGCCACTGGCGCCTTCGGTGGAGCTCCCTATCGGGCCACGATCCTCGTGGTGGGTGTGCCGGAAAGGCCCGAGGCCGCCATGCGAACCCTGCCACTGGGGGCCTTCGGTGGAGCTCTCTATGGGGCCACGACCCTCGAGACGGGTGTGCCGAAATAGCTCGAGGCCGCCATGCGAACCCTGCCATTGGGGGCCTCCGGTGGAGCTCCCAATGGGGCCACGATCCTCGTGAGGGGTGTGCCGACATGGCCCGAGGCCGCCGTGCGAACCCTGCCACTGGCGCCTTCGGTGGAGCTCCCTACGTGGCCACGATCCTCGTGATAGGGTGTGTTGCAATCGCCCGAGGCCGCCATGCGAACCCTGCCGCTGGGGCCTTCGGTGGAGCTCCCTATGGGGGCCACGATCCTCGTGAGGGGTGTGCCGACATGGCCCGAGGCCGCCGTGCGAACCCTGCCACTGGCGCCTTCGGTGGAGCTTCCTACGGGGCCACGATCCTCGTGAGGGGTGTGCCGAAGTGGCCCGAAGCCGCCATGTGAACCCTGCCGCTGGCGCGTTCGGTGGAGCTCCCAATGGGGCCGCGATCCTCGTGAGGGGGGTGCCGAAATTGCCTGGGGCCGCCATGCGAACCCTGCCACTGGGGCCCTCGGTGGAGCCCCCAATGGGGCCACGAAACGTGCGAGGGGGGATAGTGGTGATGACAGCGATGATGATGACGATAATGCGATGAGGACGTCATGATGATGGTGATGATGTTGATGGTGCTGATGATGATGGTGATGGTGATGATGATGATGATGATGATGATGATGATGATGATGGTGATGATGATGATGATGATGATGATCATGATGACGATGATGATGATGATGATGATGATGGTGATGGTGATGATGGTGATGATGGTGATGATGATGATGATGATGATGATGATGATGATGATGATGATGATGAAAGGAGGGGGGAGGGGGCAGCGGGAGGAGGAGGTGACGCGGGGCGCTGTGTCTTCAAAACGAGGACCCGACACCACAGGATGGTTGGGAAAAAAACACGCACGAGCTCAACAAATGCACGGGGAATGGACGTCCGAACGATGGCGAGGCCCGCGCAATGTCGCACGTGAGCGCCCTCGTCTCCAGCGTGGCGTGCCGCGCGGGCGGATCGCGTGAGCTGCGACGTCGGCTCGCTGCGTCTTCTCGTGGAAGACTAGCTTTTTTAATCGTCGCTCACTGGGGGTTCGGCGTCGCTCGGACGTGTGCATTTTTTTCGGCGTGGACCATTGAGGAGAATTGAGGAGCATTTTTGATCATTTGGCGAAACATGCGCGCACGAAGTCGAACAATGCACGGGGAATGGACGTCCGAGCGATGGCGAGGGGGGCGTTCACGGATTCCTCGTCGCCAGTGCTGGGCCCGCTGTCGCCCGACCGCGGTTCGCACACGGAAGCATATGCGAGGTCTGCCCGGTGGCCAGGCAGCCGCTCGTGTGTGTGTGTGTGTGTGTGTGTGTGTGTGTGTGTGTGAATGTGTGTGTGTGTGTGTGTGTGTGTGTGTCTCGCGGCGCGCCTCCCTCCTCTCGGGCCGAACGAAAGGGGGGGATTGGGAAGGGGGGGGTGTCGAAATCTGCTGCATGCAGCTGGTTTCGGCCCCGCCGCTGGGCCCGTTCCTCGATACATAGTCGCCCCCGGCGCCGGGAGGCACCGGGAAAACCAGCAACGTGAGCTGATTCTCGAACCCCCCCTTTGCTATCCCCCCCTTTCGCCCGGCCCGATCCTCCTCTCCGTGTTCGGCACCGTGAGGTGTCACGCGTGCTCACCCGGGCAGGACTGGTCAGGGGATGGCGAGCTCATGCAGTGCAGCGTCCATCTCTTGCTCATCCTCCGACCTGGAACTGCTCGCTGTCGTCTTTTCGCTCGATGCTCCACGGCGTTGGCCCCCCCCCCTCTCCTCACACCGCCTCCCTTTCTCTGATCCTTCCTCCCGGCACTCGCCCTCCTCTTCTCCCTCGCCCTGCCTCCTATCTCCCCCTTCCCCGCTCTCCCCTCCCCGCTGCCCTCCTCGTTCTCGTCCTGCCCTTCGGCATGAGAGCGACAATGAGTAACGCCTCGCGCATCAACACGAGCCCATCCAGAAACGATGCCCAGGCAAGCTTCCTTTATCAGGCAAGTGCAGGGGCAAACCATAAGAGCCAAACCGAAGATCGGGATCAGCCTGAGCAAATCCACGAATCAGACGTGCATGTCTTCGCGGACCGTTTTCTGTCGGAGTTTCTTGGTATGTTCCTTGGGCCGTGTTGGAGCTCTCTTGAGGCCATGTTGGATGCCTTTACGGCCCTCTTGGGTTCCTTTTGAGTTCGTTGGGGGCCCTCTTGGGGTCATCTTGCAGGACGTCGATCAAAGAAGGTGACGTCTCATTTAACCATGCCCCTCTGAAGTCCCCCAACATGCCTCCTTGGGCGCTTGGGCGCTATTGCCGCCGTTTTCGGGCCCTAGTGGGCCTCTTGGGCTCTCTTGGGCCATCTTGGAGCCATCCTGAGGCTTCAAAAGCCCCTCAGAAGCGAAAGTGCGAGAAGGTAACCATCATTGATTGTCCTCAGGTTTTTGATGGATTTTGGACCCTCTGGGGCAATCTTGGGAGGCTGCCTGGTCAGTTGGGGCCGTCTTGGAGGGGTCTTGGGATCATTTGAAGAAATGCTGGAGGCTATCGTGAGTCATCTTGGAAACCCTCTTGGACTTTCTTATGCCTTCTTGGACCATCTTGGACGCTATGATCGCCCGGGCCCGCCCCCGTCCAGACCCAGGGGTAGGGGGTAGGGGAAGGGATACGCCCTTGCCCGAAGGGGATGAAAGAAGGGGGTGGGGTGGAAGAGGAAACGCGTTAGACCACCTCCTCCCAGAGTTTCCATACCGTTGCTTGCTGACGATCATGTTCTAAGAAAGGGAAGGTTCGGGAAGGCAGCACGGTCCGTGGAGAAGCATGCAATCTACCCCATGTGGGGGAAGGGGAACGAGTTCGCCGTGACCGCGGGTGCGGCCGCCGCGCCTCTCGACTGTCCGCTCGCCTAGGCCTGGACGATGCCAAGCAGAACACCTACGAGAGCGTGCAGAAGCTGCGGCTCCTCGGGGTCGAGAAGATGGCCGCCGCACTCGACGACCGCCTAGCCTGTGCAGAAACCGGCTTGAGGCCCGCGGCCCCCGCCGAG